AAGGTCGCCGAGCATGTCATCAACGATTGAATATCAAAGCACATAGAGAAGACTAACCTGTTTCCGTACAACATGGTAGGTTTTAGACCACACCTATCCACTCAGGACGTCATGAAAATGCTGAAACATCACATCATAGATCAGGAGACAAAAGACGTTAGAGCTATTCTCGGTCTTGATCTCGAAAAGGCCTTTGACAATGTCTCGCACTCCCACATACTTGCCTCAATCTGTTCTCTCAACTTAGGAGCCAACTTTCACAAGTTCACCAGCTCGTTCCTCAGGAATAGAAAAACCACTATACAGCTTGGGGATCTCAAGTCTGAGCCCTACGATCTCGGTTCCTTCGGCACCCCGCAGGGCTCAGTCGTCTCCCCACTGCTTTTTAACATTGCAATGTGCGGCCTTGCTGCAAAGCTCTCAAACCAAGAAGGCATCAAGTTCGTCATCTACGCGGACGACATCACCATATGGAGTGTCGGTGGCTCGAAGGGCTTTGTGGAGAGCTCCCTTAAAGAGGTGGTAGGCTGTGTTGAAGTCTACATAAATGATATGAGCCTGATTGATATGTGGGGTTTAACGTCCCAAAACCACTATATGATTATGAGAGACGCTGTAGTGGAGGGCTCCGGAAATTTAGACCACCTGGGGTTCTTTAACGTGCACCCAAATCTGAGCACACGGGCCTACAACATTTCCGCCTTCATCGGAAATGCAGCCGCCGCAGCCGGGATTCGAACCCGCGCCCTGCGGGTCAGCAGCCGAGTACCTTAGCCACTAGAATGATATGAGCCTCAAGCTCTCGCCAGCAAAGTCCGAACTTCTCTTATATCGACCCACGAGACGGGGACTCAAACCAAAAAACTGGCAACCACTGGTTGACATCGACATTAGGCTGCACACGGCATCGGGGCAGCGTATTCCAAGGGTGGACTTCATACGCGTTCTGGGCATGATTATCGAGGCTAATGGACAGAACGGCCGCACGATCGACCGTCTCACTTCTAAGGCGGAAGGGGTCATCTGACTAATCTCACGCATTTCCAACAGTCGGGGTGGTCTTCGAGAGCACAACCTCCTCACACTATTCCATGCATTCTTGATGAGCCACATAAGCTATGTCGCATCTATGCACCGGTGGCAACTCCAGTGAAATAAATAAATTGAACATCCTCATAAGGAAAAGCATCAAAAAAGCTCTTGGCATTCCTATGCGCACAAGCACTGAGAACCTTATGAAACTTGAAGTCCACAACACGCTTGAAGAAGTTATCGAGGCTCAACCAACGGCACAGGTTGTTAGGCTTTCGATCACACCAGCGGGGAGAAAGATGCTGGTTGACACTGGAGTCAACCCCCTGACGCTCGAAGTGCTAAATACGCCACTCGATGATTATATACGCTCTCGCATCAAAGTTGGCCCCCTTCCACGAAATATGCATCCACAGTACAACGCGGGCAGGCGTGTCGCTCGAACCTCCTCTTTTTTAGCTCAAGCTCACAAACACTCGTCTGTTTCATGCTTTGTTGATGCCGCCCAGTATGGCGTTTCCGCTCGCTTTGTGGTAGTATCCGTAGATACTAAGGGTCAGATTTTATCCTCGACGTCGGTTCGAACCACTTCTTCTTACAAAGCAGAACAGATGGCTATTGCACTAGCACTCCTTGATCCACAAAGGACTGATATTTATACGGACTCTAAATCCGCTGCTAGGGCCTTCGCTTCTGGTTCAGTGTGCAAAGGAAGTTTTGAGAATTCTCGCTCACAAGGAACTCATCCCACCACACAATTATTTGGTTCCCTGCTCACCTTGGCTTGAGGGTCGGAGGCCTTTCCCAATGTCAACGAGCTAGCCCACTCCAAGGCGCGAGGCTTCACCTACCGCGCCGGGAGTTGTGCTTCTCAGACAGAGGAGTCAGCCCCCAGCCTTCATTTTAGAGACATTTTGACTACCTTCAACGAGATCACGAAGCATTATCAATTAGGCCGTAGGTCCTTTCCATTGCCACACGAAAAGTTGTCTAAGTCACAGGCAATCTATCTCTCTTCGCATGCTTCAGACGGGAACATAACCTAGCCTCGTAACCTATAGCCATTACTCCGATATTTCAGAACTTTTTCCGGACTGCCAGAATCGCAGTGATTTTAACCACATGCTCTGGAGGTGCCCCTCTTTACAAAGAAAAAATGAAAAATTTTCTGAGAACTCCTTTCATTTAATGCTCACTGAGTCCGGTTCTCATACAACAACTCAAGGCTGTCCAGAAGGCCCACGATGCGACGGGGAGGCTGGGCCTCCCCGTCCCAACGTGGGAGCGGCCCGCGATGCTACCCCTATAAAACGGGGGTGGAATCCTTCAGGACCCTAATAAAAGTTTTTCATCCATCCATCCATATCATCATCATCATGTGTGTGCGCGCTTGGCCTCCGACTGCCCGTTCGCTGCTGAGCCGTTGGGCTGAATCAACGCCGTCTAAACCATGACGTCATGAGCGATGGAGGTGGATTGTCAGACTTCAATCGTCTCCCAGCTCGCTATACTCCCGAAGCTTCGTGCCGTTGTCAGATAGGAAGGAGACGCGGCGCCGAAGCGCTTTGTCCCAGAGTCACACTTAACTCATCAACCCATCATCATCCTACGCCTCTCCCGGCACTGCCTCCCCCCCAGGGTCGTGTGGGGGGGACGTTTTGTTCAGGCCACCCTTCGCGCCCAATGTGCAGCGGCATGTCGCAGATTGAGCCTGCCGGTGCTGTTGCCATCTCCACCCCGCCGTCGCCTGCCACGCCACCTGTTTACGTACAAGGCCACCAGCGCAATCATCCTTTCTTCTTCCTGTCATCGCGGGGAAGACATGAACAACTGGCTCGGTGAATACAGCCACGAGATTCGTTGCACTCAGAAGAACTTCTCAAGACGCTTGCGGTGGCGGTTTCTACGGGTACAGGTATATGACTTGGACATCATTTATAAGCCTGGTAAAAAACACCAAGACGCCGCTGAGGCCCATTACCCGCTTCCCACTCTCACCTATCCAGCCCAGTGCCGGTCGGAGTTCGGCTGTCATTTATAGCGCAACGCCGCCGCTCGCCTCAAAAACCAGCTTATCTCGTACGACAAGCCCAGATTTCGCTCCTGCTAATGGTATATTCCGTACTTCATACGTAGTATATACCACTTCTTTGGAGCTTTCCATCCGCCTAACGCGTGGCTTCGTCGTCAGCCCATGAAATTTAGGCTAGATAACGGTGTTCTCTCCGAAAACATTTACTCGTTTTATGGTGAGTGCCGGGTTCCAATGCTACCACTCTTTCTTCGACTTGGCGTGCTTGAAGCCTTCCACAACGACTAGACTGCAACCCATCTAGGTTTTCAACGAAACTCACGACCTCATTCTAAGTCGGTTCTAATGGCCTGGCCATTCTACTAGCTCAGCACGGTACGTCAATTCCTTTCCATAACAGCGTTAACAGTGTTGTAAAGTTTCGAGATCTGAGCCAGCTGGGCAACAGCAGCCGATATGGCGCTCCAGAATGCCATTTGCGCTTTTTGGGTGTCGACTTTTACGGCCCTCGTCTGGTGGCAAAAGATGCAAAGTGCCCGTCGTAGACCACATGACACGCTACACTGAGACAAGCTCAGTGACTACTGTTAGAGCTTGGAAAGTGTCTGATTTCATTCTTCACGTACTATATCTGCGCCGTGAGGCTCCTCGTGTATTGCTACGTGACAGAGGAAGGGTATTCCTATAACAACTCTTATATAGAGTACTGCGCGCTTCTAACACAAAGCACAGGAGAGCTTCAAGCCACCACTCTCCGACCAATGGTCTCACCACAAGATTTCATCTCAATTTTGCTCGTGTAAAAGCCGTGTACATCGATCGGCAGCATCGAAACTGGGATACACTTATCCCATTCCACCCCTTCGCATATGACACGGTCATTCAACACACCTCCAGAAGGGCGTTCCCGTACTTTTTTCTAGGATGTTTCTATTTCGGACACCAATTTCAGTCATCGCCATCTACCAGCGATCAATACATTTCAAGATTAGCCTGGCGTCGCCATCATGCTCAAACGAACACGAAAAAAGACAAGATCTCAAGATCACTGATGACGCAGAACGAGTAATATTTTTTTTGTAATATTTCTGCCTGATAACCAGGTGCTCTTGTTCACGCCTATTTGTACAGCAAGTCTCTGAGACAAAATACAGCCACGCTTCATCGGGCATTATAGTTATTGAGATGACTTCGCCAGTTAACTATTGTGTCACTCCGCTTGTCGCCCAACCAGACCGTTGTCAGTGCAGCACAGACGTGCACGTTTCTCGCATGAAGCCTTTCACGCGACGTTCTTCGTCACTTTCATTTGCGACAGCCAGATTGGCCGCTTTCATGGGGGAAATAAGTGTGAAGATTTGTTATGTGCTTATGCGCTGCTTCTCATGTATGCCTAATCATAAGTATTGTCATCCGTCTGGCTCCTTGCCCTCCTCTTTCTCTCTCTCTCTCTCTCTCTCTCTCTATATATATATATATATATATATATATATATATATATATATGGGAAAGAAGTGTATACCTTAGGGCTCGTTTTTCCGTGTTTTGACTCATTATTAATAAGATATAACAGACAATAATGCCAAGGAACGTAGAGGGGAATGTATTAGAACCAGTGTAGAATAAATAAGAAGAAAGAAAAGCGGGTGAAATAGTATATTGAAGTGAGCAGTGTATATATATATATATATATATATATATATATATATATATATATATATATATATATATATATATATATATATATATATATATATATATATATATATATATATATATATATATATATATATATATATATATATATATATATATATATATATATGTGCAAGCGAATAGCGAATGTTGTAACTTCTTCTAGTTTGCTGTTGTGACACGCAGATTCTGTTTTTAATCGATCGCTCTTGTATAACTTTTTTTTCATCTTCCACATTAGGACAAAATAAGAGTTATCTGCTTGTGCTACAGGACTATCCAGTTACGCTACGTGTTTCGACATTTCGACATGGTAGGTATTTTGTTCTGGCGTGATTCATATCATAAACACCAAGAAATCTCCTCTACTCCCAGTCGCCTACACTCCTATACTGGAATGTGTATATTTGCCTGCGTATTGCTGCCACCACAATACCGTAATGTGCGCTAGATATATTTTGATCGCTATACCATTTCGAAAATGCGGTTCAGGCACAGCATACGAATATATCGTGTGTCATAGAACAGCTTCACTTATGTGGAACGCGAAAAAAATAAAAGTACGTTGACGTGAAAAAAAAGAACAACATGTGCATGAGAATTGCTAAACAAATTCGCCACAAACATATACCTCAGCTTAAAAAGCATATAGTGGCAGTAATCTATTTCTAGTGTTAACAAATCACGTGGCACGGTTGTGTTTACACTAGCCAAGATTATCTGATTTTGACTACGGTAAACGTTCTTTAACTACAGTGAATATTTTACAAGACGTGTTGGTGTTTGGAATCATATTATTGCTTCATCATGCTAGATAACGTTCGATTCTACACATTGTTTTTTTATAATTTCAGGACCCGCGTTATTTGTTTCTTTTGTGTCATTAGCATTTACTTTTTGGCAACATTATTAAATGTAGGGCTCTAAGGTACATTTTACTGTGGTCAGGTGATTAAGTGACTACACCGAATAAGAAATACTCTTGTGTTCATCTGGCTTGTAGATAACCGTTGATTAGGATGGCGCACATAAGTTTTCTACCGTTATATACCACACTCATCTGCAATCAGGAAACCATCTCTGTTCATAACTGCGTACACTGCTTGTTACAGCGTCGTCAACTGTCACAAGTCAGCCTCCTGAATAACACAGACCGAAATGAGAAAACATGAAAATAGCGTATAAATCAGGCTCTATGATTTCTCATAAATCTAGAAAAATGCAATAAGCGCTATCTGGCAAAATGTTTCACGAGCTTTGATTTAAAAGGGAATTTGAAACGTTCGAAGCGCTTTTGAAAAGCTGGTAAATATTCGTCAAAAGGATTGCACCTTCATGAGCGCCTGAGGCCTCCTAAAGTCTGCTTGCGTCTATAACAGTAAGCTTCAGGTTGATATATCAAACTAAGGATTCTTTAATTTATATATTTGTGTGGGTACGCGTATGTGTTTGTGCATTATTACCCTCTGATATATGAAATTCAATAAGTAAGTCCGTGTGTTTTTTTTGTCAAATAAATTTCACCTGAGCAGTCAAAAGTTTTAGAAGGATCATGGTATAAAGTGCTATAGTTGTGATTGACAAGATAGAGGAGAGTGTAAAAAAATTGAAACTGGCAGCTTTATCAGTTCTTGCTTGCCGCAATATTGCACTGTGAAAAATTTACATAAATGCAAATCAACAGCCTTTAAAAAAGGTGAATCTACACGAAAAGAGAAAAAAAAGGTGGGAATACACGACTATCAGCAAAAATGCGACGCAATCCCATCGCAAATAAAATTATAAAAAAACTGCAAGATGTTATGTGGCAAGATTGAACACCGAATAATGCTGAATTCCAAGTTACAAAAAAGCTCGGATAAAAGCCAAATTCTGTCGAAAAAATGAATTGCGATGAACACTCTGTTTTTAAAGTAAAATAAACTTCAAAAACACGAAGCCTAGGACACAGGAAAGCATAAGCCAATTTGAAAACATTAAAGTTTGTAATGCCCCTTACATATGCACAGGCTTTGTACTTACTCGCGTGAAAGTTTGATCGGTAGACTGATGTCATTCCGTCTACGTTAGGAATTCTGCGAAACCCAATATTGGAAAGAGAGAGGTCAATGTTTCCTCTTCCTCCATTACCAGGGCAGGGTAAGTATTTCATTTTCCTGATTTGTATCAATATAAAGAGAAACTTTATTTGCATGCCTTGACCCGCGACCTTATCTGTTAAGGATTGGAAAATGTAGCGGGAATACAAAAGTAATGTACAACTAAGGCACGTTCCGTTTATCAAAGTTAGAAACAGTGCACCTCGATACCCATGGAAATGCTCGCAGAAAAAAAAAACTGCAACTACTGAACTCAGGACCACGCGAACAAAGAAAGCATCTTACTTCGCTATGTTAACACAGCGTGATTGGTGAAGGATTGTTTTGAAATAGAACATGCACCCCGTTCCTATTTGTTTACATTTGCCGGATCACGTTTTTACGATGCTAGCGTTTATTCTCGGTCTTTCTTCATCTTTCTGTCTACCTCTAACCACTGAAATCCTCCTCACCTGTCCAAGCTAATGTTGACGTACTTGTTCTTGTGGAATGGTTATTATACCTGAAATTTCTCTTTATTTGATCCTTCTTTATATAGGACAAACTAATGATTACACTTGTGCACTTTTTAATATTCAGAATAATTGTTAAATTGCATGATGTTGAATGCACTGGCAAAAGCTACATTGACAAGGTAGCAATGCGAGACATTCCCGATAATTGTCATTTTAAGAAGTTTTATATTAAGCACGGCAACAACCTCTGGCCTTTTTTTTTCAAGTCGTTTTGACATGTAATAGCACTGCTTGTTTGACTGTGTGCGGGCAATTGAGAAATGCGAGACCTGTTCTATGAGTTCACATTGCTCCACAGTGTACGTTTTCAGTATAGTGAACCCAAATAATTCAAGTTCTCCAAATAAGCCAAGACAACACGTATTGGGACTCGCATCCATACACGCCTTTTCAAATCAAGCCCATCCTTCCCATTCGCATGTTTCCGCAGTGCTGTCTGAAGCTAATATGAAGCACACTCTACACAATCAACGCACATTTTCACTTCCTTCAGCAGATGTATACATCATCTTTTTTTAGGCATGAAGGATCAGTAATCTACCAAGAATCTGCATATGCTTCACGTGCCTTTGTGGGATCCAAGATATTTTTAAGATGTTTTTAACAAATAAGAGGACCAGGAAATTTACCATTCATAAGAGCATAGCGGCCTGAACACTAATTATATCAAGAAAGTTGAGCTACCACAGCATGTAGGTTAATGAAATGAAATTACGACGAGTGAGTTGTCTGGTTTTGGAGTAAAAGACAACTGATCACATCGCGAAGTGAACGTTAGTATGGGTTCACTTACAAATAATCTTTTCTCAAAGCAATTAAGGTGAAAAGGTTAGTCATGACACTGCGGCGGAGTTTCAGGGGTTTCCGAGACACCATTTGAAACTTTCAGATATAACAGAGAGCACAATAAGCACGGTTTCTTGGTCTAGCATTAGACAAGAAAGACTTTCAATCAACACTTCCAGTGAGGTGATACTTGCAGCGGGGTTGGGGTACGTGTTTGACGAGTAAGGCTTTCTACTAGAATACAGGCTATGATCCGTTTTTCTGTGCCAATGTGGACCGTTGCAGACAACGGACCCCAAAATTTGTGCCAGCAGCATTATTTCCACGCACAACCAAAGACCGCATGTCAGCGTGATTTGCAGGTAGATGCGTTTAGGTAATTGATATGTGGGCTTTAACTTCCCAAAACCACGATATGATTATGAGAGACGCCGTAGTGGAGGGCTCCAAAAATTTCGACCACCTGGGGTTCTTTAACGCACACCCAAATCTCAGCTTCTCGAGTCATTCTATCATATTATGACTGGCAGCGGGCTAGCACAGGCGAAGACAATAAGCCGGAGAGGTGCACTCTGTCCCCATCGTAGAATAAAACTAGTGCATCAGAGAGCCGTCAGAAGTAGCAACGAGAATGTAGATAACTACTGAAGAACAGTTCACCGGTGGGAAATGCGGCGAAGTGCAATAAGTTTTAAAAAAGATGTCCCCTTCCGGAAAATTATAGATATGAGAGACTGCTAGAGCAGAACCACGAATAAAGGTTGTAAGCTGTCTCATGATGAATCGTGTGACACTGCCCCATTTCTGTTACGCGTTCTTGTTTTCCTTGATTTTATAAGCTCAGAGAATGGTGAAATTCTGGCAAGTGTGTTAATTAGCGTGTGTCGCACCAGAATGTACGAAAGGACAGCATAATTATCAAACTGCTTCAACTAAACTGCCCACCTGACAGAACTACTTGCGCCCGCAGATGTAAAATCTGTATCAGTAATGGTTGTGCAGTGCTGGATCAGGTTGTGCCAAAGTGAAAATGTTACACAAAAGACCTCAATATCCAAGACCCATAATTCTGTTTCCTACTCGTGGGGCAAAATGACAGTATTTATTTATTTGGCCATAATGGCCCTCACTAAATGGTGCATTTTCTACCAACTTCAGTCTGTCTAAAAATGTCAAAACTTATTGAATGACACCCAACGTTCCAAGAATTCTCAAAGAAATAAACATCAATTTCGGTGTTCAAGTATATTTTGCTCTTATTCAACTCTCATTTTCGTCTTCACTTTTTTATTTCTGCCCATTTTAGCTTTCGATAACAGGCTTTATTTACGTTTTGGAGATGGTTGGGAGAGACAGCGTAGGCCCCTTCCTGCACTGCCTCCTGGTGGTATGTATTGACTTTATAGATGTACTGCAGTCTAAACATAATATCAATTTACCTAACGTTCGCTTAGATGACATTACCCGTCAAGCGTACTTGCTATCTGTAAGATAAAGACAACTTTTTGTCACGAAGCCACTAATACTCTGTGTTAAAAAACAGGCAAAAGAGCGAACAGTACTGTTTTTTTTTTTGCAGACAAAGGTTTTCTGAAGCCACTTCTGTATGAATTCTGATTTGACTCTAAGTAACTCTATACCACAAAGTCAATCTCTAATTCAATGAGGTTCATTACAACATTTCTTAGACAAGTGAGCACATAAATCATTCATACCTATAATAAACATGGTGTTACGCACCTAGAATTGGCGCACCATAAAATGCGCGAGATTGTGTAATGCATTATTTCGAATGCGGTCGTCTCATAATCATGGCAAAGACGTTGAATCTCAATGGTGATCTGGCCGAAAGTGCAAAAAGTATGAGAAAGCAAACTTTGTCCCCTTTTAGGGGCATGCAACCAGCTTGTTTAGCTGTTCGTCGACTAGACAATCTATTTTGAAATTCGAAATTCAAAATGTTCGGAGTTGACACCTTTTCTCAGCTGATGAGGTCATCTTCTGAGTTCTATAAAACATGAAAAAACTAAGGACAGTACTCATATAAGGAACATCGCGAACTTGTCAATCAACAAATCATCTCACTTAAACGGACTGACCAAACATTGGGCAGTTTTGAGACCACGCACAAATTGCGGTTTTCAAACACTCTCCTACTCTCTTCCTTCAACGCAAAAAAAGATAAGCTATGCGATCGAAACCTACGTCATCTTTTTAAAAAAAAAGGCGATGTGTCGACCAATTTTGCGAATACCAACCTAGCTTTTGTGCTTGTCTGAGATGCGTGTTTCTTACTGAATTTTTCATCGCTTTTCTCAGTGTATGCCTATTTTATATTGCGACAAATAAGAATTCTTCTTAGTTTTGGTGCTGCTGTTTTCTATGAGTGTTCTGTGGTACGTTAGTAAGCATTCATTGAAGTTGTTGCAATTGTGCAGTTGCTGTTATCCCTACTTATGCAAGCCCCCTCACACGACACTTCAATCTAGGAGCCTGTGAGGTATTGTAAATAAATAAATAAATAAATAAATAAATAAATAAATATTGTTCGGGGAGCTGCAAGCTCGCTTTATGCAGCTTTCAGCCTACTATCCTTGCCATATATTCTTGTCATGCCACCATACATGTTTTTATCTGTTTGGCAATAATGTTATCTTCGCTTCATTCATGCAATTATCTTTTCGCTAGCTACGCCTTTTGATACATGGAGCCTTGGTGGTACGTAAGACTGTTTTCATGTTTTTAATCGCTATTGTAAAGAGGTGGCATGTGACAAGAAGCTGTACTAATTACTACGCACTCTGAAAAGATCGAGTACTTGAGGAGTGTTTACGCTACACAACAATATTCGCCATCGGCTTCGAGTCTTAGTTCGCGTTTTCACCACGAATCTTGTAGTTATCAGTGCGACAGTGTGCGTGTTATAAGTTTGACAGCATTCTTGACTGAAGAAGGGCCAGCGCTGGGTTTCAAGAAAGGAAACGCGATGAAGTCAGTTTACGATTGTTGTTGGGTTGCGCAAACACAGCTGGTGCAAAACCATTATTTGAACATATAAGTAACGACGCATTGACATAGTTCAGATCGCGTAGCTGTTCAAAGATTGTGTTACTAACGATGAGCAGTATATAAGAAGCGAAATATATGCTAGGAAGAAATCTATGCTAGGTTTTTTAGCGCAATATCCGCTTAGGAAAGCGTAGTTAAGAAAGCGTCAAGCGAAAATTGTTTCCATTGCGACCTCGGCTAGTCCTTAGACTAACTATTTTCTTTTGTTATGTTTATTAGGCTTGGGCCATTAGGACGGATTAGTGTGGTAAGTGAAGCAGTGTCATGTGAAATTTGCCCCACTGCGGTGGTCATGTGGCTAAGGTACTCGGCTGCTGACCCGCAGGTCATGGGAATGACTCCGGGCTGCGGTGGCTGCATTTTCGATGGAGGCGAAAATGCTGTAGGCCTGTGTGCTCAGATTTGGGTGCCCGTTAAAGAACCCCAAGGGGTAGAAATTCCGGAGCCCTCCACTACGGCGTCTGTTATAATCCTATGGTGGCTCAGGGACGTTAAACACCACATATCAATCAATCAATCATGTGAAATCTTTCGTTGTGTATAGAGCGGCAATAGCTGGTCGCTCGACTATGGCAAAAGGCGCCTCGAAAAAAAGGAACCGGAGCGTTCTGTCTGTAACTCTCGCGAGGTAATGCTTAGATGAACGGTTTGGTTTGAGTTCAAACTGATTTATAACGGAAGCGTAGAAACGAATAAAAAGGTACAGATGAAGATGAGAGATGCGTTGTACTTACAACTAAACTTTGTTGTGAGTACTACGCATTTCCTATATTCAACTTGTACTTTGTATTCGTGATTGCGCTGCTATAATACACCAGCATAACCCTTGGCATGCCCGTATAGCATGGCTGAACGCTGCTACAGGGATGTGCGGATGCGTGGCACCCAGCTCTGAATGCCAGCAGTTTCATGTTGGCATGACAACCGTTGTAAGGGCCACCCTGCCGAAGCCTCATTCTAGGAACATGACAAGGAAGAGAGTGGAATTGTAGGAAAAGAGTGTGTCTATATTTGCGAAATATGTAATGCCTCTACCCCTCTCGCAAGATGTACCCAAGATTTACTGATCCAAAAATACATAGGCCCCAGTAGTTACAATGAAAGTTTATTACATCAGGACCAACTGTGGTAGGAACATTCACAAAGCATCACCACTGGCATTTTATATTTACGCGTTTTGGCGCTTTCGAAGAGTCTTCTTGCAGCAAGTGGGTGCCTTGGTATTCTGATACGGTAATATAAACGGCGAAGACCTTCTTCGCAAATGCCTGTTTTCCTAACAGATGCCTTATTTCATGGTTGGCTTTGTATAATATAGTTCTTCAAGGGGAGCGTATATTGCGAAGCTGTTTCAGGAACATGCATTATCCGTTGAATTTTTCAGATACGACCATCGTTTACTTATATAGCTTCAAGTGATGGGACTCCTATTTTTTAGTTAGAAAATACTAGCTAACGGGGTCATCGTTACATTTGTGGTTTTGTTACCATCCAGCTGCTGCTTCTTGATGCTGAATACTTTTAAAAGCTTGATTCTCACGACCTACAAAGTCAAGACTGGGCTTTGGGTACATGTTAAAAAGCAAACCATCTTCAACCAATGCCCGAATGGTAGCATCTTGTTTTGTGTCTCCTCTTTAACGACTGAAGTCCTAAGTTGGTCAAAACACCAGTGCGTTGCACAAGATATAGCTTTTCCTCAACCAGTATGTTAAAAATATTCTATAAATTGTGATCACCATAACGAGAGGTGTCGTATATATCAACTTTGTAGAATGGGTGCAATGCTAACGTATGCTGATAACAAAGCTTTAGACAGCTTTAGACAGAATTAAAGAAAGTGGTGTACTGTTATTTGTCCAATATTTTGTATGAAGTACTCATTTACTGGTGCCGTCAAGAACAATCGTGAAGGCGGCAATTTAAAGCAGTCATTCAAATATAAAGTGAATGAATACGCTGTCTGCTGCAACGCTAGCACGGAAGAATGCGTAACGAAATTCCTAAAAATGACGCTGTCCCAGGACACTACCTGACGTACAAGTTACATATTTTTAAAATAATATGAGGTAATATCATGCGCTTTCTTATTGAAACTCAAATGCGTGCTGTTTAGCCTAAAATGATTCTTAGTTATGCAAGCAATTTATTTCTTCCATGCAGCAAGTGGTACCCAAGCACAACGTCTTCAGACTGGAAATCTTGACCGAGGTATGTAATGTCCAGTTGTATATTCTCATGGCCAAACTTCAACTTGAAAGTATTACCACGCAAATGTCCAACTATAAAAATAACTCTGAATTTGTTATTAGGCCAGAAGAAACGTGTACGAATGACTAGGATAAACCGAATCTAATCACTCTGATGGTAATAGGATGTGTCCTCCACAGAAGTACATACCTTGCTTGTAGAGCAGGAAACAGTGAGCGCAGCACTATGCGCTGTTGTTTAGAAGAAGGGACCTAAAGTTAATCATTGCCCATACACCGTTTGCGGTACATGTAGTACAATTAATGTATAACAGCACTCAAGTAAGCATGCTTGTATGCTTATTTAAATGTATACTATATATGATAAAATTTCTGTTAGCTTTATCTCCCACTTGTAAGAGCTCGTTCCTTTCAGATGGGGGCGCAAACTTGCTGGTTGATGAAATCGTCGTCGATAATTTCTTTAACGTGCTTGCTCTTTTTCGCACTGCCTGGTGCCGACAAAAAAGGCATTGGTAATGCAGGTTGCTAAAGTGTAAATCATTACTGTTTCTTATAGTGAATCTACCGGTATGCGGACGAAAAATCTTGGAGAATGTTACCGGTTTTTTTAGACGCAATATCAGATGTAGCAGATAATAATGCCAATGAATGCATAGTGGATGCTATTAGTAGTACTATACATACAACTCAGAAGGCTGTAAAGTGGACGAAACGATAGCTTGCCATTGGCAAGGGCCACAACAGCAAAGTTCGCCTGTGATGTCACTGAAAATGCAGCTTCGGAATTTATGTCCATAGTAGAGAATGGAGAAATAAAAACGTTCATTTTCAATTCTCCCGCCACGTTTGTCCAACAGGAGGTTGTAGCTTTGGAATGCAACCAGATAACATGTTGTTACTCACACGTGCAAACTAGAAGAATTTTCACCTATCGCTGCGTATCAATTGGACGTTCAACGTGAGCTAGTTAGGTGTGCTTGAGAGAATACAGGGCGAATAGTGTAGACAGAAGGGATGTCAGGAAATTCACTAGATGTCTCATTCCCATCTTAGCATAGCACCACGTACGCACGAGTACTGCCCCCCTCCCCCCCAAATACACACGCATGCACAATGCGCCATTTCCGAGTTTACGCGAAGCTGTGTAAGCTCAGAACAAATAACTTTTTAAAGACATATAACGGCACTTTAGAATGATTTCGTATGACATTGATATTACGCTGTATCGTTTGCCAGCTAGTAGTAAAACAATATCACTCTGTCTTACCCTACAGTCTGTGCCCCGCCGTTGTGGTCTAGTGGCTTAGGTACTCGTCTGCTGACCCGCAGGTCGCGGGATCGAATCCCGGCTGCAGCGGCTGCATTTCCGATGGAGGCGGAAAGTTTGTAAGCCCGTGTGCTAAGATTTGGGTGCACGTTAAAGAACCCCAGGTGGTCAAAATTTCCGCAGGCATCCACTACGGCGTCTCATAATCATATGGTGGTTTTGGGACGTTAAACCCCACATATCTATCAATACTCTACAGTCTGTTCACAGACACTACAGTCCATGCAAATTTCCTCCCCAGCTATATTTGTAGTCGCTGATGACAACAGCAGCATGGCCCGGTCTTGGAGACTATTCATTTAAAATGAAACAGCGTGACAGCACATCCGCATCATCGCTTCTACTGAAGTCAGGAGACACACAGCGCTACAGCGTGTAATAGAATCTATGGCGCCTTACGCAACAGTGTCTCTGGAAGTTGCGCGCCTCACATATGCAGTAAGTTTCAAACTTTATTGATGTTTGTAGTTCAGACATTTCATGCACGCAAGCGACATTACACCACGGCATCACAGTAGCAATACGTACAAAAATCATGAAAAACACAAGAAATACAGGGCTGAATCTTGAAGAATGGTTGCTTCTTGCACTTGCACTTGATGCGCAAAACTTGAAGAACTGAAACCAGATGATTTTAGGGACTAATAAGTTTGTATCTAAGTTGTTTTTATGGCCTATATAGCTAATGCACATTGTTTCTAGGTTCTTCTTTTCCTACTTAGGCTTCAGCCAGGTGTCAGTTTCTACATTGGTTTTCTGCGCAGAAGAAGACGAGTCATATTACAAGCAGCCAGCAAAACATCGTTACTGTTGACCTTCTATCGCTTCGGAATCATCTGTCCGTCACCGTTGCTTCCCGCTACGCCTAATATACTCTTGTAAACAACTGGGGTTTTCTGCATGCCGCCGCCGCCTCACGGCCAATTCTCGGTCTAACTGTGGCTTTGTTCATTTTTCGTGGAAATTCTGTGTAGGGGGCTTTACCCGATTTCAACGACATGTACTTAAAGTTATCATAGTTTTCTATCTGGCTGCACTATAATTTTAAGTAAGAAGCTTGTTTGTTGTTTTTTTTCATAGTTTGATATCCACTTGTGATTTGTGGCGTTCGCCTTTTTATATTGCGCAAACCCATTGATTTTGACGGTTCTTTCGTTCTGGGGGAACAAGGAGTCAATCCTTAAACAACTTTGCTAATAAAATCTGACCCGAAAATTCCATGGAGTGCTAAAATTTCAAGGGGTTTTAAGCAAATTAACAGCTGCACGCACCCTGCTGGTGTATCTCATCACTGCAAGGTAAAACAATTCCGATGACCACATAAACTTGAAGATAGTTTAAATTCTAGCACATAATTTGTATTACCGGGTTGTGTGTGTTCACGTAAGTTCAATGGATTAGTTCACCTTGAACAAAAGTATCCCGCGAATGTCCGCGCTTTTTTTTGCGACGTGCCAAAGGAAGCAAAGACGTTGCAATATAGGCATAGAGAGGGACTTTAATCTGCAACCATGTCAAATTTTCAGTCTCTCCTCGCCTTGTTTGATTCCACGAGACTGACTCACCTCCTTAAAGAGTTTTTGTAGGAGCATTTATAGGTTTCTAGTGAGTAAGGTAGCCTTTCGGGCGTATTGGTGTGTCATGCTGGAGTTTTAGAGTGCACTAAAGCAAGTGATCCACATAATACATAGAAACAGGCAATTTAACATAAGAGTTTGTGATTCAACACACTTGTAGAGATGGAAATGTAATGGCAGGTATTTACACATTGTATTTTCTGTTGTTGTTTTTTAGAACCTCTTCTACAAAAAGAAATCCCAGCAAAACCAAATTTTTTTGCCGGTGAAAACATTTTGCCCTTTTTTCAGCCAGTGCCTAAATTGTTAGGCACTGAGGTGTTGTTTATTGAAAATTTTGGTCAGATACGCTGTCTTTCACTTTTTCTCATGAAACATGTAATTGTGATGCGTAATGTAATTATTTTCAGGGGAGTCCTTCTTTCTTGGCAAACTTCCTGAAGTTCCGGACCGAGATAAGAAACCTGGTACGTAATTATTGCTCTCCTGCTGCATCACTGAAACAGACCGCACAATATTTAGGTGAAATTATTTGTTAGGAACAATACAGCAAATAAAAAGCGTATTGTGAAGATACAAACGAGAACGACACAAATTTATCTATAATGCGTAAAGGTCTTTCCAGGGTGACTGATTAAAAAGGAACTATACTGGAATAATGATGACACGTTCTTAATAATCAACGATTCTGCGTGACTGTGCTGCAAGCATAACTTCACAAGCGAACTGTCAAAGTTTTTCGAAACTTTAACATTTCGTTTCATATTACGCTATGGGCACCAAATCCTTAATCGTCGCGAAAAATGTAGTTATACTTGACCGAATGGAGGGCTCTAAACATGCTCGTTTGCAAACAAAAACTAATTGGCATAAAAAATTGGCCGCATCTCTGCACGTTTCACTGAAAAGAACGTGGAAATACGATAGCCTTTTATCTGCAGGCCCTGCATTAGACTGCGTCGATGTCCTCCCCAACCACCTCTCCAGCCTATGGAGAGGCGGGTGAGTAGAATATTGAGGCACTCTAAACTGAGTTCACTGCAATGAAGTGTCTTCAAAGAGGGGTAACACGACGGTTTGATGGATGGATGGATAGTGGGCGGTGGCTAACGCCACCAAGCCGTAGTACTTAGTGAACCAAAAACTAGTTTTTTTTATTTACTTAGTGAGGTTTAGGACTCGTAATTTGAAGTGAAGGGTTTAATTTTCACTCGTGCCTTGACTTAAGACGCCAATCAGATAACCTCCTTCTAGTTAATTCTACCGGCTTAAACTCTATTTTTCCCTCCCTGTCCCTAAACACAAGTGCTTTGAAAACTCTGGGCCATCATCCTGAACTATAGGGTGAAGCCCTTTACAGAACATTATCAAGTGTTCGGTAGTTTCCTCTTTCTCTCCACACGCACTGCATACCTTGTCAACCCCTTCGTATTTGGCCCGATATGTCTTGGTTCGCAGTACTCCCGTCCTGGCCTCAAACAGTAGAGAACTACCCCGAGTATTATCATAGATCCTTTCCTTGGCAATTTCCTGCTTAAAAGTTCGATAGACCTCTAGTGCGGACTTCTTAATCATGCCAATTCTTCACATATCGGTCTCAGTTTTCTTCTCCTTCTTTTCCACCGATAATTCTTTTTGGTTTGGCCTCCTGCTGTTTTCTAAGTATTTACTATTCAATTTGCTGGTTCGCTTCCTCCATTCCGTATCGACATTCTTCATGTACAAGTAGCTGAACACCTTCCTAGCCCAACGCTGTTCCCCCATTTCTATCAATCGCTTCTCAAATTTTATCTTGCTGCTAGCTTCCCTGCCCTCAAATGATGTCCATCCCATATCACCTTGTACTCCCTGATTTGGTGTATTCCCAGGAGCTCCTAAGGCAAGCCTGCCTATTCCACGTTGCTTAATTTCTAATCTTGCTTGAACTTCTGATCTCATGCACAAGACCGCATTGCCGAACGTCAGACAACGAACCATGACCCCTTTCCGTATTCCTCTCGCAACATCATACCTTTTGTGATTCCACAGTGCCCAGTTTTTCATCACCGCTTCATTCATGTAACGTTTAGTCATCACGTATATTTAGTGTTCCTTTAGGTACTCGCCCCATTGCTTATCCATACGCCCAGATATTTGTATATATCTGTTATCTCTAGCGTTACCTCCTTTATTGTAAGCTTACTACCTTCATTATCAATAAAAATAAGGACTGCTGATTTTTACTTACTGAATCTGAAATCTAGCCTATCTCCCTCATTAGCACAGATGTCCATCAATCTCTGCAAACCTTCCTTATTGTCGGATCAACAAAGATGGATGGATGGATGGATAAGGCTGTACCTTTTAGATCGGGCGGTGGCTAGCGCCACCAAGCCGTAATAGTTATTGAACCAAAAACAAGACTTATTTTGTTTCCCCTAAATAGTGAGGTTGAGGATTCGTACTTTGCAGTGAAGGGTTTAATTTTCATTCCTGCCCCGCCACGGTGGTCTAGTGGTTAAGGTACTCGGCTGCTGACCCGCAGGTCGTGGGAACAAATTCCGCCTGTGGCGGCTGCATTTCCGATGGAGGCGGAAATGTTGTAGGCCCGTCTACTCAGATTTGGGTGCACGTTAAAGAACCCCAGGTGGTCAAAATTTCCGGAGCCCTCTACAACGGCGTCTCTCATAATCATATGGTGGTTTTGGGACGTTAAACCCCACAAATCAATCAATTTTCACTCCTGCCTTGACTTTAGCCACCAATCAGATAACCTCCTTCTAGTTAATTCTACCCGCTTGAAGCTTATTTTGCCCTCACTGTCCCTAAACCCCAGTGCTTTGAAAAACTCTGCGTCATCATCCTGAACTATAGGTTGAAGCCCTTTACAGAACATTATCAGGTGTTCGGCAGTTTCTTTTTCTTCTCCACACGCACTGCATACCGTGTCTAGCTCTTCGTATTTGGCCCGATATGTCTAGGTTCGCAATACTCCTGTCCTGGCCTCAAACAGTAGAGAATTACCCCGAGTATTATTATAGATCCTTTCCTTGATAATTTCCTGCTTAAACACTTCGGGAGATATGGGCGCCATCTGGCGGTGATTTAGAGAAACGAAAGTATTCTAGCACGAAGAGCAACTGACAAGTAGCCGCGCCGTGTCGTTTAGCAAAGCGTAGGAAACACAGGCTGTTTCGTTTATAGCGTCTTATTACAGTGCTGTGTTATATACACTGTTGTCTTTAAACTTACCTAGCTAGGCACATCCTAAATAAAGGCAAACATTACCTAATACTAGCGTATTGATGTTACGCCTAAATATGCATATTATTTGCTTTTTGGGTATCACTGCTAAGTATTATGAAGGCAGCCAAAAGATCAAGATGGGTGGTCATTCAGCAAGGGGGCATTGGGGGGCAAGGGGTTTAACCCTCCCTAGGGATGCTGAATCGGTCGACAGATAAACCAATATCACTGGGTTGATCTTGACCGAAGAAAGACTATTGTCTTTGAAAAATGTCCCTATTAAGTGTCCCGGGAACAACAAAGCTGTAGCATAGCCTCTCAAGAAATAGGCTTAAGTAGGGCGTTCATTCAAACATCTATACCACCAGAACTTACTTAGCGCTTTAAGCAGCACCTTAAATCGTGCTCCTGATGTACCTCAAGATGTCTATCTATCTATCTATCTATCTATCTATCTATCTATCTATCTATCTATCTATCTATCTATCTATCTATCTATCTATCTATCTATCTATCTATCTATCTATCTATCTCTCTATCTATCTATCTATCTATCTATCTATCTATCTATCTATCTATCTATCTATCTATCTATCTATCTATCTATCTATCTATCTTCCACCCACAATTTTGTATTCACAGGGGAGTTCAGTTAAAAGGACGTATACTGACAATGGTATGACATGACATGACATCAATGCACGATGAAGATAAACATTAGGTCACGACATTAAAATGTTGGCATGTATGTTATGTACGCAATTATTCAAAATTCATAATCATGTTTCACTCGAGTTCTCTTAAGTAGCTGGGCATAAAGAAATTTTGACAACATGTCAGATTTCTTTACGATGAACATCAACGACAAGAGGCAGCAATAAAATTACAAGACATGCTATGTATGACATGAATAAACGGCACTCTTCCGATGTGATACCAACTGTTTCGCAGGTGTTATATATACCAAGTTCATACCACCTGGCATGACTGTATGATGAATGTATATGTGTAGGCGAGATCGTCTCGCGGAAAGTGTGGCGTGCGTGTCACGTACTTCCTTTCTTACATACGCTCCCGTGGGGCGCTCTGCCCATTTTGTGGCTTCACATGCAAAAAGATGTTACCTAGAGTTTCACGAGTTTATGATAAGAATAAGTAGGGCGTTAACAATAAACACAGGGCAAGTATGTAATGCGGGCACCAATACAGGTGTACTGATGCTGCACTCGCAACCCTTTCGTCAACTTGATATGCATCAAAATTGCATTAATCTCCCATAAGTGTAAAAAGAAGACAAATTGTTGTTGGCAGCATGAAAACCATAGGATGCATTTAATGCGTGGTATAATTTACATGCTGTGGTTTTGTGCCTGTCACGGCAATTTTAATAATTCTATATAAACTAAAAAAATTATGGCGGTAAATAACTTACATGATAACTGGCGTGTTGTGAGGCTCAAATATTGACATGTCTATGGCTTGATTTTAATGACGCCGACGGGAACAGCTTGCACCCGTTTTTTTTGTAGCGTATGTATGTAACGAATCTGGCGGGGCGTGAAAAAAGTATATGAAGAAGGTAAAACAGGTACTGCATGAAAATTATGTCTTGCATTCATTTACGACAAGATGCACGTAACACGCTTGTGCTCCGCTCTTCTCGAACGCAGAATAAAATATAAGTCACCTCCTCATCGACTCTTTCAAATTACATCAATACCAAATTGCACATTAGCTGCCAAATTTTTGTTCCTAAAAGAAATGCAGTACCATTATGCTTTATTATTTGCAAACGCCGAAACCCCTATTTTTTTTTCTTTACAGGAGCGTCACCATCAGCACCTCCAAGAAATAGGCCTCAACCACCTCAAAGTACGTATAGGTTGCCTACCATGCAATGCCACATAATTTCAGTAGTGTGGCACATGTGCTCTACATAAACGAATTTATGTGCCTTACTTTTGTAATTCATGTACACCAATACAACAAATGGCAGATCTTTCGTACCTTAGGAACCAATCGACGTTATGCTAAGCATGCACAGGGAAGTGACAACATTGCAATTTTTTTACTAATTGACGCGCTACGATATGACCCTCCGTAACTTGGACCATCTACCCGAAGCGAACCCTGGTGGCATGCAAAGCAGCACCGTTGCGCATGCACGGCGTCACGGCTTCAACAGCGCTCACGTGTGTGCTGTGGTCAGCGCTGGCAAATTCACTTGAAGCAATGGCTGGAGTAGATCTTGCAGGGGACGCGTACATACATGTTTCAACGCAAACGTTAGCACGCGTCAAGTTTATTGCGCATGAATCAACGAGTCGGCATGTCGAGCGAGCATGCGGTCGTGACAAGTATTGCGGGTTAACGGACGAGGCGGCAGCTGCGGTAGCCGCAGCGAGCACGCGGCAGTCGAGAGAGAGAGATTGACATGAATGCTGGACTGTGAGGGGAGCGTTAGGTACACACTGCAACAGCGGCGTGACCTACTTGGCATCGCGCCAACAACTGCGGCACGCAAAGCGTTGGTACGGAGGGACAGCGTTACAAAGAGCTGCTTCACATCTTACATATGTAAAGATGTTGTACGCAAAGACATTTGTTGAACAGTGACACATGTCTTATTTAAGCAGTTGCTCACACTGGTGCAACGATGCCAGCAGCACCATGAGTATTGGCAACACGAAAAGCGGTAAGGTGGTGTGCAACGCTTATGCTCGCGAGGATAGTAGGCCTGGACACTGCTACCTAAACAAACTGCAGTGGGTGGTGCTAAACTAGAACTTACGTTCACCCGAAAGAACGGCTGTATCATAGAAGTGCTTATGTATTGAATATACGATTGGATAGCAAGCAATGCAACGACAAATGACGTTTCACAACGAGTGCACCTGATTAGTGCATTTTTCAATAGCAGTACTGAGACCTAGCCTGGCTCTGTAGTAGAATACCAGCTTGCCACGCAGAATGCCTGCATTTGATTCCTGCGGGGACTCTGATGTTCATCGGGATAACGCTGCCGACATCAGGTTTTCTCAACACTCGTGCATTAAAATTGTTATTGTGGGCTGTCTCGTTCCTGGGTACACAAAAACTTTCAATCACCCGTGTCGCATACTGGCAAACCAGTGGCACAAACCCGTCTGCGTGTATGTGCCACTGTCTGGCGGAATATTTTTGACAACGTGGGTGACTTGATTGTGACATTATTCATTTCACGATCAGACGACCAACGCGTGATATGCATGAAACCTTTTACGGTTTAAGACTAATTTTGGTTCACCCCAAGTTAAGGGGGTGATCACGAAAGGACCCAGACGGAAATGTCTTGATATATAGCTTTTATGGTACTTGGACTTCAATTCTTTTCTCTTCGTTTGTCGATGATTCCCGCTATTGTGTTTAATTATGGTAGAAACGAAACCGCTTCTCTGGTGAAGTGATAGGAATCTGAGAATCACTCACGAGGAGAAGAAATATATGAAGATGGTTTAGTGTTCTTTCTTCTTGCGTAGTGCCAGCATATGTTCATGACTGTTTTTCAGCGACAAACTTTGTGGAGAGAACGCGCTGCGTAGCGGCAGTAGCAAAACATGAATATGTGCCGTAAAGACTGACGTGCAAACTAAATAAATCAAGATTCTTAAGTAGATAATTAACATGAGGTTGCTTGAGTGATCTGTCACTGACGATATTGGTAACTGTTATCGACCTTATCATCTCCGATTATGAGCGCGAATAGGAACTATGCCTGTCACGTACACTCTAAAATCTGTGGAAGGTGTCGCAGGAGTAAAAAAGCAAGTTATTCTTCTAAGTGTTCTTGTACTGTCGCAAAACATCAGATAGAGTGAAATTAAATTTCACTCTGTATGAAACGAGTGATTGAAACAGCTTTCTACTTTTCTGCTCTGTGATAAAGTCAAAAGCCCATACACTCTTCAGGCACGAGAGAGTAAAACCCAATTAGACTCCGGCCCTTGATTACTTTTAGATGCATCGGCATACCGCGAGTGATTAGCCCTACGTAATAACCACACATATATGCAGAAAAAATGTACCGTACTTTTTTTGTTGAGACGATTACCAAAAGAACAGCGTTTCCAGCGCGCACCAGTACGTTTCAGTGCACAGATAGGCACGAGGCACTTTTATTATCCACGTTTTTAGCTTTTTAGATCTGTGTAGTGGAATAAACGTATACTACCAAATTCAATGGGTCACGATCGAAACTCAACGCAAACGGCTATGAAAACCTCCTTATACTAATATTCATATTTTTTCACTTCGACCATCGCACACGGGCGATGGTGCTCTACGCCTAACATGCGGTACGGCTACAGTGAAGTATTATGGCTTTAGTCATAGAAGGCGAACAAGAATGACCTAAAATATGCCGAAGGGGCAAAAACTAAATTGTTTAGTGTACACCTCAAAAGCGCGATGTTTCGTACAGAGAAGTGACTAACCACTTATTGAGTCAGTGCAAACGACGTTCATATAATTGGTTGCGCTAATATTCACTCTTCTAATGTAAAATTTGTATCACATAAATGTAATCTCAGGAAGCACCAAAAAGCGTAGTAAACATATCAGCTTCAGTACTGCTGATTTTGAAAAGCGCGGAGACACTCAAGTATATGCGACTAAACAAGAAATGCAGACATGTCACGAACAATACCTATGACACAGAGAAATAAAAGCACGATAGACGTTTCTCAGTGTGGTGTAGTCATTCTTTCGCCGGCACTCGCACGCGTCGGACGCTAAAATCCCGGGCTCCCGCGGAGCAGCAAAGCCGGTTCTCGGTAGCCGCGGAAACAGGGTTACAGATGAAATTGACAAGAATTTCGAGATCATCTTGCCGAATCTGCCAACATGACGCGTTCTTTTCAACACAGTGTTCTTGCTTGGAGGTATTCTAGTGGGGCTTTTCAAGGTTAAAGATTTACCAGATGCTCTGGACAAAGACCTACTGTTTCCCGAAGTGTTGGCGTCAGGCGCCTACCAGATCAACCATCGAGGTGCAAGGTGCCTCGGTGTTCGCATTGCCGGTGTTTCGGACTTGTCGACGCACAGTGCGTTCGTTCCTACGCCACAGTGACGGACACAACGGTTGTACACAGCATATTATGAACGTAACAGAGGCAGAAGACGCCTCCCAAGGCAGTGTTGACCGGAGTGTAGCTGCACTATACTGCCATGCATTAACGTCTACTGGGGAAACTCCAGCAGAACCGATGGACAGATCACTAGATAGTGCAGCCGCACTGGCCGATGCCTCGAAGGATGTGAGAATGAATTTGAGCAGACAGGTTACTGGAGCCTCTGAACTGACGTCTAAACAGGACCTGCCTGCCAAAGGCGTTTTGTAGCGTGTGAGCACGCACTTGGAGTCGGAGGAGGGGTCTCGGAACGCCTTTGGCGCCTCGGGAAGCAACGTTGTTCTTACATTATTTAAAAGATTCTGGAAGAAGCTTCTAGCCAAGGATACAGAGAAGGCGAGAAGAGCGTTGAGGAACCACCAGCAAGGCGCCAACTGCGAGACTCACCAGCCTCAGGACAGGACCTGGTAGTGCTATGGAAAGGAAAGCTGTTGACAATCCGTTCTGAGTGGACAGTGAGACTGGTTAACCGAGTGGTCCCGGTGGCGCCTAGCGTTACGTTAGACGTGCTAGGTAAGCGCCATGCTTCGGGCCCATTTCACCCGCAACGCTAAGATGACTCCTGCCGTATTCCTTAGATTAGCAACTGAATGTTAGAGGCTTTGCTTCCAGAAAAAACATGGCCAAGTGTACCGGTTGTTGTTAGAGAAAAATTTGTATATATTGCAGGACAGGAGACGAAAGTGGAGAGTGAGGAGGGTACAGAGAGCATTGTACGAAAGTTTACGGCGCTGTATTTTGTAATCGTGAGCCATGCAGTAGGTAGACTAGGGGAATGTGTTCTCTTTGCTAGAAAATTGCCTGCTTTTGTGCTAGAGAATGTATCGGCGTGTCCATCAGGCTAATTAGTAACGTGCGAAGTGTTTATTGTAACACTGAATGGCGAGTTCTTGGCGCCCATGCTGCAACTACGTTGCAGGAACGCCAAAATTTTTTAGATCATGTGCGACCATACTTGTGCAAGAGAAGAAGTTTATATTGGTAGGGTGTTTTAGTTGTGTATTGAAAGGAAGAGTTACATCAAGCAGTGCAAGTTCAAAGACAAAAGCAATTATGTGCGTGTGAAAGTGATTGGAGACAAAGAGTTAGTGGATGTATCAGAATGCCTGGAGAGTTACCGGGAAGTAAAGTTTGCCCACTTTCAAGGTGCCTGTACATATGCAGTACGGTTTACCCACTTTGAGACTGACCATACATATCAGTTGCCATAACTAAACAATGTAGTCGCTATAACGTTGTTCCGATTGCCTTTTCTGATCATTGACTAGTAGTGTACCAGGTAGGTGCGGAGAAAGAATGCAATACGTTTTCGTGGGATCAGTGAAAAATAAGGTGGTAGAAATTTCCGAAGCCCTCCACTACGGCGTCTCTCATAACCACATGGTGGTTTTGGGACGTTAAACCCCATATATCAATCAATAAATCAGTGAAAAATAACTCCAATCTTGTAAGTGACGAGGCTTTGAACGTAGCTGTGAAGAATGAAATCAAAGTAATTGAGGAAGCTCATGTTGAGAAAATGAGAAAGAGTGGGACCTTGAGCGATCAAGTGTCCTAGCTTCGAATCAAAAAAGAAAGATAGAGAGGTTAAATTCTTGCTGCAGAGATTGACAGCACTGGAATGTGAAAAGCCTGGTGTGTATGTCGAGGATTTGCGCAATATCAAAAAGAAGCTAGATATCCAGGATGAAGAGCGCTATGGAA